CCAAAAGTGGTTAAACTCCAAAAGTGACTTACTAGAATTTGCAAAACTCAATATGGCGAATGGGTTGATGAAAGAGTTTGCGCAGTCTTTTGCTGAGATGCAGCAACGCCTGCACACAGAGTCGTGCAAAAGTATGACTTTAATCTCTTTTGTAGCTCCTAGCGGAGTAAAACTAAATGTAACCGAAAATCACGAGCGAATAGAGGAAAAAGCCGTTCTGCCCATTTTTCTAGCCAGAACCTCTGTAACCCTCCTTGCGGCGTTTCCCTGAGAGAGCCTGCTAGACCTTTTGAGCACTTTTCTCAAGGATTACTTCCGAAAGACTCATGCACGCGTTAGGGCAACTTTTCCCAAATGGTCGAATAAGCTCTTAGAAGTTCCATATATTCGGCCCACATTCTTCATTGATGCTCAAAATCACCATAATGAAAATTTGGAAATGAAACAACAAAAATAGCGGCCCATACGCTTGAGAAAATTGGAGCATGTTTATTCTAAGGCGAGATGTTTGTGCTTTCCGCGGAAGGTTATATGGTAAGTTCTTCCAGAAGGTTTTTTTTCGGTTTCTAGGATGTCGCAATAACTTCTTTTTATCTCTCAACTAACACATTTTTTAGTTTGAAAGTGTATTTGATGCCTTGGAACAACACTTCATGTAATGCGGACCGAAAAAACTCTCGGAGGGTAGTTGTTGTTCGAAATGATTATTTGAAATTCACGCTCTTTATTTTGAGCACCACCTTCCCTGGGAGACTGTTGTTTGCTACAACTGTGGTATGATGATTGAGATTAGCCAATTTATGAACAGTAGTTTACATCACACTTGGATCCGCTGAAAACAAAAATCTACTGCTTTCAAATGTCATCCCGTGTCCTACGGTTAGCAATTAGGAAAAATAAGTTTTAAAAATTGCAATGCATATACCTACGATAGCATTTGCTAGCAGATCTGATTTGTTTACTGGTCGTCAAAATTTCAAAGCTTTAACTAGCCAAAGTTGCGCGAAAAACCAAAAAAAAACCTTTGCGCCAACTCAAAATCAATAGGTCTCTCAAAGCGCTGTCTCTTCCACGTTGCATGACGAACGCTTGGGGTAGCTTATACTTATTTCTTCTTCCAACTTCAATGAGCGACCTGTCTACTCAAAAGTTCATAATGTAGAAAACGCAAAACCTAATTGTTTTGGAATTTACTTGAGAATTGAACTTACGAACAGAAAGAATTTGAGATAGTTTTCCAGTTGTAGTTTTGAAATGAAGTTATGAACTCTGAGCAAAGACTACTAGTCGTGCACATAGTTTCAGCAGAAAGAAGACTCTCATAGCTCTTTTATAAATGTATTCAGATTTGTGACAAAGTTCTAAATTCTATTTAGTTTACATTTCATGCGGCGTACGTACTTGTACTCGCCTGGCATGTAGACGGTTTTTGTGACGGAGCCAAATGAAACCAGTACAGTTGTGTTGCGCTCATTCAATATTGCATCCCATTTCTGTAATCCCTGTCACAATGCTTAAACATGCGGTTTTCAAATTAAGAAGAAAGGCTTACGGCAGAAAGTTTATCCTGTTTTGAGTCAGCTGAAACTGTAATTCCACCAATCGAGATAGTTTTATGGAGCAATGGGCGAGGATAATCCAAATAAGGATTCGAATTTGTGAAAACATACGAAGCTTGAGCAAGCAGTTCCTGAAAGGAGATCTCAATCTTATTCTACTCTTCCGATAATCAAAATTTTGAATTTCTATAAGTTAACGAGTTAACGCCTTACAACGGTTTTTTTACTGATCAAACAATTATGCCTAAAAATCCTTCAGAAAAGTTTCTCGGGACAGCCATACCCTATTCAGTTCTCTAAATCATCAGCATTTCAATGGTATATCCAAAATTAGGAAAAATCACTTTGAAAAGAGTTACGACCTGGCATGCTTTCGTTGAGATTTATCCTCGCGAGGGATAATCCGCTGAAACACGTTTTTGCCATCGAATCACGGACTATACCGTATGTTAGCAAGCCAACTATAGTCAAATCCTAACAAAGCGCTTGCAGAGAAAGGAGCGACGCACCACTGCTTCTGATTCTCGTGCGCAAAAATTAGAAAATTATTTGTTTCTGCAGCGTGAAGGGTAATATGTAAGTATTTTCGTATAGCTTTTCTTTGTATTTCCTTTCTTTTCAGGGAGAAGGTTTAAAATGACTATTCAAGTAGGTGTCTGGCTGCCTATCTCATATGCTAAGAAGAAAAATGAAATGATCAGCAAAAAACCATTTGTTCTGCTTCCCATATGAGTTAGATAATCAAGAATCTGCTTCAACTCAGCCAGTAGCCTCTGCTTATGAAAGATAAGAAGTACAATGAAGATTACTTTAAAAAAAACTTAAATACTACCCACGGCTTGAGAAACAGCTTTTCGAATTTCCCAGCTTCGAAATTCACTGAAGCGTTTTTGTTATCTTGTGTTAGGAATCGACTATAAATACTTAAAATGAAGTACTCTCATCATTAAGTTGAATGTTTGCCGATGCCTGTGATCTTACATTTGCGAATGACATAAGCATTTGACAATACTCACGCTATGACTCTTGAAGTGAGAACCGAATTTCCTTTTAAAAACATCAATTTCTGCATCAAGAATGTCAGTGAAAATTTTGTCCCATAAAGCTACATCCAAAGTGTTTAAAAATCTTTCCAAAACATTCATACGATCCCCAGCAACGCTTACTCCTAAATAGAAATAGAACAACAAAAGAACAACCAACTTTCTATGGAACAAACAAATCTAGGCAGAATATCACTGACCAG